GCTCAGAGCTCAAACTCTTGAGCGAGCTCTTAACCAACTGAGCCACTCGGCCGGCCCAAATGTGTTAACATTTTAGTGAGTGATTAGTGGTGCAAAGAAAAAGAACAGGGTGATGGGCAAAGGATGTGGGGAGCACTAGTTTTGACTGGGTGAGAAAAAGGTGCTTCTGAGGAAGTAGCATCTGGATTGAAACCTGGACGCCAGGAAGAGCTGGCTGTTTTAAATTTGCGGGGAGAGCATTTTAGCAGAAGGAATAGATCATTTAAGGGCCCAACGGCTGGAATGAATTTAATACATACGAGGAACAGAAGAAGTCTATTGGCAAGAATGTAATGAGTAAGAGGGAGACTGGCATACGATTATGAGAAGGTCATACGATTATGACCAGCTGAAGGAAGATGTTGTAGGCCATGTAAAAAGTTAGAATGAAATCCAGTGCAGCTACCAGGAGGCCCTGAGCCCTGATCTAGAGACAGGCGATGTGACAGTGCAGCAGATCCTGCAGAAGTCCAGCAAGTTCCAGAGAGGATTTTCTTTTCTGGAATTAGTGAGCCCCAGGAGGAACGTGGCTGGTGACACCAGGTGAGCCGTGGCCCAGTCCTCCATGATGAGGGTCAAGGATGGAACATGTATTCTCCAGAAATGTCCCAGTGTTTTCTGTGTTTCTGAGATACGTTTCAATTCATTAAATACAATTTATGTTGTATTCCACTGCATGGCATTGAGGTGTAGGGCAAGGAGTTGTATGGCATAACTCAGATAAGACAGATAAACAAATGATAGGTAATGTTCTAAGTGCAAATATGAACCTACATGTTGTCTGCATGTTTGTAAGGACACAGATGAGGAGTGGGAGGGATGATAGGTTGAGTTTTGTTGTGTTCATATATTTTTTCCTGCTTTACCTGGGAGATTAAATCAATATGACCGGAGACTGAAATGTTACATTATTAAAGATATTTGTTGCCTCAGAAAGATTGATGCTTTGAGCTCACCTTTTCTTACTCTGGGGATGGGGAGCAGTGCACCAATGGTGGGTGATTGGTGATGGAGGGAGATGAGTTTGGGTTCAGTGAACATGGAGAGGCTTGGAGTGGCTAGTGGGGGGATGTGTTTGGCTCTGTCCAGGCTCTCTGTTGAGGACACTATGTCATCTTCAGCCCCTCTTCGTGACTTGGAGGCTGTTTTGTTTTCTACTCCTTGGTAACCATATCTCGTTACCCATGCAACACTCTTCCTTTGGGACCTTAAAAGATGGAATATTCTTCATGCTTTTAAACCAGTATCACCTCACAAGAAGCAGGGAGCAGAGCAACTGCTTCACAGGGGCTTGGAAAGCTAAGATGACTACGTTGATGTTGAACAAGAATCTCATCACTAAGAGCAGAATTTACACTTGTTTTCAACTGATTCTTACTGCTTTTCTGATTATTTGTCTCTTAAGGTCATAGCTAGTGCCTTTTCCCCCAAAGAGCACGCCTAGTCTCTCTTCTTTTGCCATTGCACCCTGGAGCCAGGCCTGTTTCCCAGAACTGTGCTCTCCCAAAAGGCTTTGGTCAGCTCTAGGTGTATTTAAATTCTTTTCTTTTTTTTCATAAAATGCTGTTTTTGTAGAAGTGGTAAGGAGTCTAAATACCTTCTAAGGAAAAGTAAGATACAGATTGTGACTTACTTTGCAACTCCCTAAATCTGTTTTTTCCTTGTTAGGATTCACTACAACATTTTCTATTGCCTATATCTTCAGGAGAGTTCATATACTCAGGCCACAGAAGTTAAAGAGGAACCATCGATTTGGCCAGGGTATGTACTTTGTGTGTGTATATGTGTGTGTGTGTNTATTTGGAAAATGTTCCTTGTGTACTTAAGAAGATTGTATACTCGGCTGTTGTTGGGTGAACTGTTCTAGATATGTCTGTTAGGTCCAATTGACCTAGTTTTGTTTAAGCACCCAGTTTCCTAATTGGTCTTCTGTCTGGTTGTTCTTTCTTTTCTTGAAAGTGGAATATTGAAATCTATTGCTATTATGTTGTTGTTATGAAATCTCCTATTGCTATTACGTCTCCTATAGCAATATTTCTCCCTTCAATTTTGTCAATGTTTGCTTCCTAGATTCAGGAGCTTTGTTGTTGGTACATATATATTTATAATTGTTATATCTTTGTGGTGAATTGACCCTTTTATCATTATATAATCTCCTTCTTTGCCTCTTATAATAATTTTTTACTTAAAATCTGTTTTGTCTGATTTTGGTATAGCCACAACTTTCATATTATTTAATCCTCATTGAGACTCCGAGCCATTGTGTCCCGGTATTTCATATAGGGAAATTGAAACATTAGCTCTTCCCAGATTCCATCACAATTTAGTGTTTGAAACAAAATCAAGACCCAGTTCTCCTAGTTTCCAACCAAAATTTGTGAAATGTTTCTACCTTATTTACCAAACTTTTCAATTGTGAGCTATAATAATTGCTTTTCAAGCGGTAGAAGGTTATCTATATGTTTGTGACCTAATCTGCTATCTAATAGCCGTTGCCTGCATATTATTGGGTCTTCGGGAAAGTCATGACGCATTTCTGCATTGAAAAACATAGAAAAATCCCAACGACCCAATATTTTGGATTTTTAAAAACCATATAGTTCATTCCTTGGAAGAAGCTGTATCATCAATACCTGATGAATGAAGAGCAAGCTGTGAGCAAAGTGGATGGCATCCTGGTGAACTATGGTATAGAGAAGGAGTCCGACTTGTGTGTGCTGAACCTCATCCGGTGAGTTGCTTTTCTCCTGCGAGGAAGACAGTGTCTAAAGTCCTTTCCCATATATTATCACTTACGGTCGTCTTTCTCATGGTCTCTGCTGTGAATATCTTCCAGCTATACAGCCACCACTAAATGCTCCCCCAGCGTGGATCCTGCAAGGGCGCTGTGGAGTCTGAGGGATCATCTCCTCCTTCCTGAGGCAGAGGCGTGCATGCGTCAACACCTCCCTGACCTCTACGTTGCCCCTGCGGTGCGTGAAGGGGCCTTGGGGAATTATTGGGGAAGGTGACACCTTTCTCAGAAGAAAGTATATTGGTGATTAAGTTCGGCTAAAGGTTGTTTTAGAAATCTCTTTAATCTCTGTTTTGAAACCTTAATCTTGTCATTCGCCCCATTAGAGAAGTAGAAGGCCACATTGCTGTAGATTGGGGTTTTTTTTGTTTGTTTCGTTGTTATGTTTTTCCTTTTATTGTTTTTTGTTGTTGTTTTTTCCATAGCAAAGTGTTTAAATAATGAAGTGTTTCCAGGGAGCTTGGGTACGCCATACATCATACTTTGAGAATTCCCATTAGATGATTTGTAAGCACATGTTCACAAGTAGCACTGGAAAGTTGAACATCCATGAGCTTATATTCACAGTCTGGACAGTGCTAAGCATTTGTCACAATCTTGGCCCCAAATATGATTCCTGGGAGGCATGTATTCACAAGACGTCATCAAGTGTTTCCAGTGCTCATGGACCAATGTCTACTTCATCAAGTCAGAGGACTGGATGAGCCCTGCTCAACTAGTGAATCCATCCTTTCCAGTGCAGAGCAGGACCACATCTACCTGGTCAACCTAGACTGTTAAATTTGGAAAGAATTTTAAAAAGCATTTTGTGCAATTTCCCATTCTGCTGAGGAATCCTCAACAGAGATGGTCATGTAACCTCGGAACACTTTGATTCATAAGGAGTTCTGTACAAGACAGCCAATCCCATTGTCAACAATGTGGGTTATGTGAGGACCAGAGAAATTACGGGTCTTGCTACAGTGCAAAATGAGTTAATGAGAAACTGTAAATAGTCCTCAGTTTCCTGACTTGTGGCT